GCCTGAGGAAGAGTACCTCATTTGCCCTAACACATCAGCCTCCACTGTTACTGACACTGACCTCGCAGTCAGGCTTCGCAGCATGAGAAAAAGAATAGGTTGAGAAAAGATAGCAGCTAAAATCACATTAATGCTTCCTCTGAGGAAGTGAGTGCAGCACATTCCCAATCTGTGCATATGTGGAAGGTGGGGAAATTTTTTTTTTCTCACTGCTGATGCAAAGATACAAATGCTGTAAATGAAAGCAGGAGAAATTTTAATGTGCAGAGTAATAACGGAGTTGTTAACGGGAGCGGCACTCAGGGAGCACACCACTCCACTGTTGAGCCAGCTCCACTGGCTGCCAATTTGCTACCGAGCACAATTCAAGGTGCTGGCTTTAGCCTATAAAGCCCTACACGGTTCCGGCCCCACTTACCTCTCCGAACGCATCTCCTCCTACGAAACCGGCGAGGATGCTAAGATCGTCCGGGGAGGCCCTGCTCTCGGTCCCGCCAGCATCACAAGTGCGGCTGGCGGGGACAAGAGACAGGGCCTTCTCGGTGGTGGCCCCTCGGCTATGGAATGCCCTACCAACGGAGATCAGACAGGCCCCGTCGCTACTGGCGTTTAGAAGGCGGGTGAAGACGTGGCTCTTCGAACAGGCGTTCGGATAAGCATGCAATCAACATCTGACTCAGAAAGACGGCATACTGAACAAGGAATGGTAAAACGACTATGAGATTTGGATCTGATCCTATTCGAGGCGTGATGACGTTTTGTGTATTGTTTGTGGTTGTTTGTCATATATATTGTTCAATGTTGCACATTTTACTGTAAACCGCTTAGAGTCGCCGCGGCTGATATTTGCGGTATACAAAAGGAGTAAATAAATAAATAATAAATAATAATTATCTTGGCTTTTGGCAATTCCCTTTCTCCCATCTTTACAAACTCCTGGGAGGGTTGAGAGTGGGTGTCAGAGGGGTCGCCCAAAGACCAAAAACAGTATTTTCTATTGTCATGGGGGTTCTGTGTGGGAAGTCTGGCCCAATTCTATTGTTGGTGGGGTTCAGAATGCTCTTTGATTGTAGGTGAACTATAAATCTCAGCAACTACAATTCCCAAATGTCAAGGTCTATTTTCCCCAAACTCCACCAGTGTTCACATTTGGGTATAGTTTGGCCCAGATCCATCATTGTTGCAGTCCTCAGTGCTCTCTGGATGTAGGTGAACTATAACTCCAAAACTCAAGGTCAATGCCCACCAAACCCTTCCAGTATTTTCTGTTGGTCATGGGAGTTCTGTGTGCCAAGTTTTGTTCAATTCCATTGTTGGTGGAGTTCAGAATGCTCTTTGATGTAGGTGAACTATAAATCCCAGCAACTACATCTCCCAAATGACAACATTAATTCCTCCCCCAACCCCAGCATCATTCAAATTTGGGTATACATTTGAGCCAAATTGGATCCAGTGCATGAAAATACATCCTGCAGATCCAATATTTATATTACGATTCATAACAGCAGCAAAATGACAGTTATGAACTAGCAACAAAAATAATGTTATGGTTGGGGGTCACCACAATATGAGGAACTGTATAAATGGGTCATGGCATTAGGAAGGTTGAGAATCACTGACTTAGAGAGTTCCATTGGAGGGAAAAAAGGGACCAAAACAAGTATTATTTTTCTTTAAAATATATAATTTTAATGTTTGAAAACAACATCTATAAAATACTGTTCAAGCTTTAATTTCTTCTAGCAATTATACAGAATTATATCTCTTATATTAAGCATAAATTATGTTTTTAAAAAACTCTTTGAATTCATACATGTACCAAAGTTACATCTATCTACTACTGATTTCAGTAGCTAAGTGGGTTATGCACTTAAATTCACTAAAATATATTTTTATAAAATAGCGTAAGAAGTCAAATACTGCAATGATGGTAATATACTGCTTTTCAGAAACTGTCCAAAGAACATGTGAAAAGCTAACATTTCCAACAGTGGACATCTCTGGATTGTACCCAAAAGTTGGATCTAGTTAAGTTCCAGCTCAATAACATTTGGAAATATACAGACATAGCAGCTAAAAAATAAGCTACAATACTTGCTAATACATTGCATTAAGTGAGGCATGGGCAAACTTGGGTCGTTCGGGCGTTTTGGACTTCAACTCCCACAATTTCTAACAGCCTCAGGTCCTTTCCTTTTCCCCCTCAGCCGCTTGAGCGGCTGAGGGGGAAAAGGAAGGGGCCTGAGGCTGTTAGAAATTGTGGGAGTTAAAGTCCAAAATGCCCGAACGACCCAAGTTTGCCCATGCCTGCATTAAGCTGACTGTACATAAATGGGAAGCATAGTGTTCCCTTCTGTTATGATCACCTTATGTCTTTCCCTACACTAGTAAAGGTCAGCAAGAGAAATGCCTTGTCAAAATTTCAGATGCTTAGGGAGGAAAGACAATCCATCAGGACTTCCACATTTCCTTGTACATTTATTTATGAAATGAACATTACAGTTTCATTTTGAAGGGCAAAGAAATTACTTTGTATAAGGCTAAATAATAAATGAATCCAGAATCACCAGCACAATAATAAACAGATGTGCATGAATTACAAAGCAGCTTAGTTCTGTGTCCTCATTCTCAAACATAACCCTCGTCATCTCTCTCTCTCTCCGCTCTCTACTATCCCAACTATTTCATTTGAGCTTCTGCCTTCTTCTTTGATAAATCCTTGGTCTTAACATTACTTTTGTACAACATGAAATATTGGATGGTCTAATCTCTGTGTTCGGATACTTTCACAAGACATCGCTTTTAAAATTGGAAGAGACCTATTCCATTTACACTGTCACTCTAACATGGGTCAGTGGCCAGATTATATACACTGTGCCGTCTCTGCTCCCAGCAAGCTAATTTTATGTATCGACACCTCCTTTGGACACTGTTTTAGCACAGCCGGTTTCAGTGCCCAAAACCCTATTACTATGTGTAAGATGCCTAAAATGAAAGTGGTTGTTCCTGGATGTGGCCTTGAAAAATAAGAAAGGCATATAATTGATGAAAGGTGTTTTACATGAATGAGCTCTCAGATTGAATATTTGCAATTTTTTCCAGTGGCGCAATGGGTTAAACACTTGTGCCAGCAGGACTGCTGACCGAAAGGTTGGAGATTTAAATTCAGGGAGCAGGGTGAGCTCCTATCTCAGTTCGCTTCCCATGTGAAGCCTCCCACAGGATGGTAAAACATACAGGCATCCCCTGGGCAATGTCCTTGCAGACAGCCAATTCTCCCACACCAGAAGCAACTTGCAGTTTCTCAAGTCGCTCCCGACATGAAAAAAAAATCTCCCAAGTACAGTAGACTTTCAGTTAATCAGAACTCAAGCAACTGGGACTCTCAAATATCCAGCAAAAAAAAAATCAAAGAAATAACACTTTACATTTTAAAAAGATGGGTTGTTGTAGGTTTTTCGGGCTGTATGGTCATGTTCTAGAAGCATTCTCTCCTGACGTTTCACCTGCATCTGTGGCAGGCATCCTCAGAGGTTGTGAGGTTTGTTGGAAACTAGGAAAATTGGGTTTAGTTGTTTCTTGACAATGCAAGGAGATTCCAGGCATTTGTTTAACTGCCGAACTGATCTCAATTTTTTTCTTCTGCTGCTCAAGCCACTGTTCAATTCCTAGCTGAACATTGATACCAACAGCAAAAGCAGTGGTTTCTTTTGTAATATTACAGCATTTAAATATATACTGCAATGTGTTGTCAAAGGCTTTCATGGCCGGAACCACTGGGTTGTTGTGAGTTTTCCGGGCTGTATGGCCATGTTCCAGAAGCATTTTCTCCTGATGTTTCGCCTGCATCTATGGCAGGTATCCTCACAACCTCTGAGGGCGCCTGCCATAGATGTGGACGAAATGTCAGGAGATAATGCTTCTGGAACATGGTCGTACAGCTCAAAAAACTCACAACAACCCATACTGGCACTGGTCGGTGGTAGGTTATGTTAACTACCAAACTTTAAGAGAGCAAAGATTGTAACAATCAGCATAGCCTGCTTTAAGGTTTACATATCCACAGAAAAACTGAATCAGCCCAACTATCCAAAATAATATTATGCATCTATGTGGTGCAAAACTAACCCTCATGTATGCAACAAAGCAACACACCTGCACCACACTTCACAACAAATAATAGGCATAGTTTTGCCTTTATGAAAATTCACCATTTAGGAAAGGGTCATATGAAGAACCCTTCAACCAAGAAATCGTGTGAGGTTTCACTGCCTATAAATTTTCAAATGTAACATGGAACACTATCATCTTTGTTATTAACTGGGCTTTCATACTTGGAAAAGAAAAACAATACTTTTGTCATCAATATAAGAGCAAAGAGTTCTGTAACACTGCATTGCTGCTAAGATCCTTTTCCCTTCCTATCTCAGGCCCATCCCCATCCAAAGAATACATCATGCTTCAAGTCTGATCTGTGCCTTTTAAGCTACTCATCTGTTAACCTAGAAATGATTGTGCTTTTTATACTGGAGCATGAAAGACTTCTGTTCAAATTAAAAGGCTGTGTGCTATCAGATGCAATCTAAATGTGAATGCAAATTGGGTAATATTTAAACTCCAATATTACCTAAGGCAAGAAACAACATTTTCTTCTATGCTTGACCCATACTTCTGGAGAGAGAAAAGACTCATTTGGAAAACAGTATACAGCAAGGCTATCATCACTGAAAGGCTCTTTTGACATTTCAAGACAATTCACTAGTAAAATGAGATTAGAAATGTTGAGATCTCTTCAGAATTAACTGTTGGGACAAAGCTACATAGCGAATTTAGAAAGTAACTGAATATCTACTTTCATTACGTGGTGGAGTGGAATTATAATATAAAGTATGTTTTCCCAGATCAAATTTATTCTAAATCATTTTTCCTTTGGGGCAAATTAGTTGAAGTGTTAAAGTTGAAGTGCAGCAGGGAGACAAATATTAAAGTGAGATGAAGTGTGCTGTTATAGCTTTATTCCAGAGGACTTACATGCAACAAAGACGGCATTTGGAGTGGTTTCAATAAAGCAGAAAGCCATCAATAAAAATTATCCATAGACAGACACTTCTTTGGCCTCCAGTGTATAAGCATAAGCGACAAGACAGAAAAATTAAGACAATAACTTCCCTCAATTGGTCAAACCCATCAGATTCCAAAAGGTTATTCTGATTGTGATTGTCAACACACTTTCTAGAAACACTTTCCCTTCAGAGTTCTGGGTGTTCTGCTCCACGCCCCTTAAGCAAACGCTTGGCAGGAAAACGGAACATTTCCCCTTTCCACATTCATCTGGAGTCTCCTGGATTTCACAAACTTTGCTGACAGCAGGTTACATTCCTGACAGCTAAAAAAAGCCATTTAGATTTTACATTCTAAGGTAACATTTTCCATATGTCTATTCCTATTTGTTCCAAAACTTCAGTTCTATAGACATCTGCTCTTGCTGGCGATGCAAAGTAACAGCTGTAGCAGCTGGCAAAGTTAGAAGTACTCTCTTCCATCCAAAACACTGAAACAAAAAACTCTGCTTAACCTTTTGGACTCAGAAACTCCTGCAGTTCCTCCCAGACAAATCATCCTTTCAACGACTGGAAGGACAAACTTACACTTTCAATAAAGGAAGCAAAAGGAAAAGCACTTCAGGTATTTGTACTGGTCCCTCTGTGACAAGCCTTTCTATAAACAGTTCAGCCATTTTGATGTGGTTCAGTAGAACATCATAAGTTTAAAAGAATTCAGACTCAAGTGTGGATTGTGCCAGAATGATCTGCAAATTAGGTTACATTCCTGACAGCTCTTGCCAACTAAAGTGTTCTAAAATAGCCATTTAGATTTTAAATTCTAATGTACCATTTTCCATCTGCCCATTCCTCCATAGGGGAAAAATCATATTGGAAAGACCCAAAAGCTACTATATTTTATTTACGAGCCATTAAAAGTATTAAGCATGTTTCCAAGGAACACACCCCTTTCAAGGATATACGGAACTTGCATACTTTTATTGAAACTGGTAGAGGGAACATATCAAGGATATATCAAGTAACTACACATACATACATACTTAATAGATAAACTATGATTTATTCCTCTAGACAGTATCAAAAATCAACATATGTTGATGGTTTCCCTAAAAGCCTTTCATAGTGCCATTATTTCTCAAAATGGTACAATACCCCCATAATTTAAAATAATAGCTTTTTTGTGCCCATTACCATCAATATACTAAATGTTAGGCAAACAAATTCCCAACCGTACACAGTCTTTTATCATGACAAACTAGTGGACATCCTGCTGCTTTTTAAACTCTCTTGCTTACAACAACTATATATATATACATTATCTACTTATTATAACCATTAAAGCACATGAGGTTATTCCTCTCGTCTTTTACTGCATTTGACAACTCCCACATTTGTTGGGATCTTCTCCTTCAAGCCTAATCCATTTCTTCTCAATTTCAACCTGCAATAAGAAATCAAAGAGTGCAATTAGAAAGCAGTTATGAAAACAGCTAGTGAACCTTGTCATTACCCTCATTGAAATGATTAGCCATCATCTCAAACCTATTATAAAGAAATCCTGAAACCAATGTATTAATAGCAGAAAAAGTATGAAGTAGGGTTCTTCCATTAGAGATGTGATGCTCCATTAATGTTTGTGAAAATTCTATAAGAGAAGTGAGCAAGTGCCAGGGAGTAGAGGGCCACAATGGCTTCTACTGTGCCTAAATTAGTTCCCATGTCCCCCAGGCCATTTTAGCCCTGGGAAGGACTTCTTTAAAATAAGAAGTCTACTTTTGAGCCATTTTTGATTTTTATGAATAAATGCACATGTATAAATAAAATCCATATTGGAAAAAATTAAGATAGTGTTATTGAAGGCTTTCTTGGCCGGAATCATTGGGTTGTTGTGGGTTTTCCGGGCTGTATGGCCATGTTCCAGAAGCATTCTCTCCTGATGTTTCACATACATCTGAGGATGCCTGCCAGTGGTGTGGGTCAGGAGAGAATGCTTCTAGAACATGGCCACACAGCCTGGAAAACTCACAGCAACCCAATTAAGATAGTGTTTCCAAACCTAGCAGTAACTTTATGCTAGCAGAGTGATGTTACTGAGTGCAAACATATATTATATGCCAAATATGTTCCTAGAATTGCACAACCCATTACTATCTTCTTGGAAGGAGCCCCCAGTGGTGCAAAAGGTTAAACCCTTGGGCCAGCAGGACAGGTCGTAGGTTCGAATCCGTGAAGAGCGCTGTCAGCTCCAGCTCCCCATCAAAACATCCAGGCATCCCTTGGGCAACATCCTTGCAGACAGCCAATTCTCTCACACCAGAAGTGACTTGCAGTTTCTCAAGTCACTCAAAAAATATTCTTGGAAACAAGTGCAGAACAGCAACCGTGTCTGTTTTTAGTACTAAAACACTAGGAATTCTATGTAACATAACATCCAAGAATAAAAATTAACTTTATTGCACCAGAGTCAGCTTCATCCCTGCCCAAACTGGCACCCATCAGATGTGCTAAACTACAACTCCCATTGTGGGGTGGATTGGACTAATTTTAGGTGGGAGAGGGCTGTGTGTGACAATGTTTTGATGGTGTTGAGCTGCTATTTATTAGGGTTTTGGCTGTTTAAGCCACTGGACTGTAAGGACCTGTAAGCATGCTTCAATGCAATGTAAATTTGATATGTTTTAATATGTTTAATCATTTGAAATACTATTTTAATTGATATGTGTTTTTTTACAGTTTTATAATATTATGTTTTATTGATATTGTTATTATCTGAATCTGGCATTTAATTATTGCCATGGTTTGTAAGCCGCCCGGAGTCCCCTCTTTGGGGTAAGAAGGGCGGTGTACAAGTACAGTAAATAAATAAATAAATAAATAAAAACACCCCCAGGAAGCTTGGTGAATGGGCATGCTAGTCTTCATCAAGTATTTGTCTTGATAAGAAAAGAAATGGAAATAAAAGTAACACATAATTGACTGAAACACTTCATTAGGTTTAAAAAGATGAAAATAATGATATTACCTGGCAATTGTAATATGCTTTTTGGGTCACATGCTTCTGTGGCTGCACATCATTTTCGATGCCCAGTGATTTTACTTCAGTTCCAGAAGGACATTCGTCGAGCACAACAAATTGGACTGTGGCAAAAGGATACCAATCAGAGGGGATTTCCTGATCTGAGCCAAGTTCTAGTTTGTAAGACAAACTGTGCGGATGATCTGGATCTGGGGAAGGATAAACGGGCAGGGAAAAGAGACAAATGTAAAGTTTTACAGAGAAAGGTGCTTGAGAGAACGATAAATTCATGGAAGCTAGGAGTTCAAAAACTATTGAATGAGAGCTAAATAAGAGTAAGAGAGGAATGCAGTCTGGCCTTAGCTAGGGCTAATCCCTGAGGGACATGATCTGACAAAGAGATTCACTCTTTGCCTTTAAACTATGTCAAGCTTCAAAAGCTAGAACACAAACAATTCATGTTGTTGTTGTTCATTCGTTCAGTCGTCTCCGACTCTTCGTGACCTCATGGACCAGCCTACGGCAGAGCTCCCTGTCGGCCGTTACCACCCCCAGCTCCCTCAAGGTCAGTTCCAGTCACTTCAAGGATGCCATCCATCCATCTTGCCCTTGGTCGGCCCCTCTTCCTTTTGCCTTCCACTTTCCCCAGCATAATTGTCTTCTCTAGGCTTTCCTGTCTCCTCATGATGTGGCCAAAGTACTTCAACTTTGTCTCTAGTATCTTTCCCTCCTATGAGCAGTCGGGCTTTATTTCCTGGAGGATGGACTGGTTGGATCTTCTCGCAGTCCAAGGCACTCTCAGAACTTTCCTCCAACACCACAGCTCAAAAGCATCGATCTTCCTTCGCTCAGCCTTTCCTAAGGTCCAGCTCTCACATCCGTAGGTTACTACAGGGAATACCATGGCTTTGACTAGGCGGATCTTTGTTGCCAGTCTGATGTCTCTACTCTTTACTATTTTATCGAGATTGGACATTGCTCTCCTCCCAAGAAGGTAAGCGTCTTCTGATTTCCTGGCTACAGTCTGCATCTGCAGTAATCTTTGCACCTAGAAATACAAAGTCTGTCACGGCCTCCACGGTTTCTCCCTCTATTTTCCAGTTGTCAATCATTCTTGTTGCCATAATCTTGGTTTTTTTGACGTTTAGCTGCAACCCGGCTTTTGCGCTTTCTTCTTTCACCTTGATTAGAAGGCTCCTCAGCTCCTCCTCGCTATCGGCCATCAGAGTGGTGTCATCTGCATATCTGAGGTTGTTAATGTTTCTTCCAGCAATTTTCACCCCAGCTTTGCATTCATCCAGCCCCGCACATCGCATGATGTGTTCTGCATACAAGTTAAAAAGGTTGGGTGAGAGGATGCAGCCTTGCCGTACGCCTTTCCCAATCTTGAACCAGTCTGTTGTTCCGTGGTCAGTTCTGACTGTTGCTACTTGGTCCTTGTACAGATTCCTCAGGAGAGAGACAAGGTGGCTTGGGATGCCCATCCCACCAAGAACTTGCCACAATTTATTATGATCCACACAGTCAAAGGCTTTAGAATAGTCAATGAAGCAGAAATAGATGTTTTTCTGAAACTCCCTGCCTTTCTCCATTATCCAGCGGATATTGGCAATCTGGTCTCTCGTTCCTCTGCCTTTTCTGAACCCAGCTTGAACATCTGGCAACTCTCGCTCCATGTATTGCTGGATTCTTCCTTGAAGGATCTTGAGCATTACCTTACTGGCATGAAAAATAAGGGCCACTGTACGGAAGTTTGAGCAGTCTTTCGCATTTCCCTTTTTTGGTATGGGGATATAAGTTGATTTTTTCCAGTCTGATGGCCATTCTTGTGTTCTCCATATTTGCTGGCAAATGGCATGCATCACCTTGACAGCATCATCTTTTAAGATTTTAAACTGGCATATGGCATGCATCATCTTGACAGCATCATCTTTCAAGATTTTAAACAGCTCATCTGGGATCCTGTCGTCTCCTGCTGCCTTGTTGTTAGCAATGCTTTTTAAGGTCCATTCAACCTCACTCCTCAGGATGTCTGGTTCTAATTCACTCACCACACTGTCAAAACTATCCTCGATATTATTATCCTTCCTATACAGATCTTCTGTATAGTCTCGCCACCTTCTCTTGATCTCTTCAGCTTCTGTTAGGTCCCTGCCATCTTTGTTTCTTATCATACCAATTTTTGCCTGAAATTTACCTCCAATGGTTCTAATTTTCTGGAAGAGGTCTCTTGTCCTTCCTATTCTGTTGTCTTCCTCCACTTCCATGCATTGCTTATTTAAAAATAGTTCCTTATCTCTTCTGGCTAACCTCTGGAATTGCGCATTTAACTGGGCATATCTCCCCTTTCACTGTTTCCTTTTGCTTTCCTCCTTTCTTGGGCTACTTCCAGTGTCTCAGCAGACAACCATTTTGCCTTCTTAGTTTTCTTTTTCTTTGGAACGTACTTTGTTGCCGCCTCCTGAACAATGTCGCGGACTTCTGTCCATAGTTCTTCTGGGACTCTGTTTACTAAATCTAGTCCTTCAAATCTGTTCTTCACTTCCACTGTATATTCGCTAGGAATGTTAGTGAGATCATATCTAACTGGTCTGTGTATTTTCCCTGATCTCTTTAGTTTTATTCTAAATTGGCAATAAGAAGTTCGTGATCTGAGCTACAGTCAGCCCCAGGTCTTGTTTTCACCGACTGGATGGATGTCCGCCACCTTTGGCTGCAAAGGATGTAGTCAATCTGATTTCGGTGTTGACCGTCTGGTGAGGTCCATGTGTAAAGCCGTCTTTTAGGTTGTTGGAAGAGAGTATTCGTTATACACAGCGAGTTTTCCTGGCAAAATTCTATCAGCCTGCGTCCCGCTTCATTTTGTTCTCCCAGACCATGCTTGCCTGTGATCCCGGTTGTCATTTGACTTCCCACCTTGGCATTCCAGTCTCCTGTAATGAAAATAATGTCTCTTTTTGGTGTATTATCCAGTAGGTCCTGCAGATCCTCATAGAACTGATCTACTTCTGCTTCTTCAGCAGCTGTGGTTGGGGCGTATATTTGGATCACTGTAATGTTGAAAGGCTTTCCTTGCACTTGAATTGAGATCATTCTGTCATTTTTTGGGTTGTATCCAAGCACCGCTTTAGCGAATTTCTTATTAATTATGAAGGCTACTCCATTTCTTCGATGTTCCTCTTGTCCGCAGTAGTAGATCTGGTGGTGATCTGATGTGAAGTGGCCCATTCCAGTCCATTTCAGTTCGCTGACCCCCAGAATGTCTATCTTTAGTCTTGACATCTCACCAATAACAACATCCAATTTGCCCTGGCTCATAGATCTTACATTCCAGGTTCCTATGGTGTGTTGATCTTTAGAGCATCGGATTCGTCGTTCACCTCCAGTACCGTCGGCCGCTAGCCTTCCTTTCGGCTTTGAGCTAGCTGCGTCATCACATCTGGGGCTAGTTGAACTTATCCTCTGCTCCTCCCCAGTAGCATTTTGGCCATTCATACCTGGTCTATACCAAGTTGTATACTACATGACATCATTCATTATTCCTCCTCAGGCAATAACTTCTCTCCTTCATTCTGGCATAGAGCTGATTACTTCTCATAAATAGAAGCAATAAATAAGTCAATAGAAATTTAGAAATATGGTTAAAATGGAATATGCACAGCCATTTGAATTTCCTTGGTACCTCCAAAAACTAGTGTAAAGATAAATAGATAAATAGAGCTGTCTCTGTCTCAAATTTGTCACAGACAATTAGGTTGAAGTTACAGTAGTCATACAATAAATTCAGCCTGGATTATTTTGCCTCTTGAATTTCCTATCTGTTCTTCAACACAGACCTTTGCCGTTCTTAGCTGTTTTTACTCTAATGTACAAATGTTGAGAAGCAGTTGTATTAGCCTTCTTTAATATAACTGAGCTTCAAGCACATAATAACTATATACCATTTAAAAGTGAGACCCACTGTAATCATCACAATTATTAAAACATATGGAACTCATTTATTCTGTGAGAGAAATTCTATTATTCCACTCCACAACAAGAAGTGACCTAGCAAAAAGGCAACAGAAAAAGTTTCAAATTTATTTATCCCTCAGTGCATAACAAACTCAAGAGGCAACTTGCAGAAGAACTTTAATGAAAGTTATTTAAAGGATGCTTATCCCAAGTCTCTGCCAATGTATATACACTTTGACCAGGATGCCTGAAAATCTGAAGCCAAATACGGTACTACAGGTTTTGATATGAACATAGAATCATAAGAGTTGGAAGAGACCATGTGGTCCATCTGGTCCAACCCCCTGCCATGCAAAAAAGGCACAATCAAAGTATACCTGACAGATGGTCATCTAGCCTCTGTCAACAAGTGCTTCCACAGTAAGCTTTTGGAAGAGATTCAGTGAAGTTACTTGTATATTCAACTCAATCTGGTCACTTAAGAGTGACGATTAAGAATTATCACCAATAACAATGTATGTAATCCCCCAAACCAGAATGTAATTACTATACATAGGGTTCTTTGAGCAGGGTGGGTGATATATTAGGGTTTAAGAAAGCTAGTTACCTGTGTAAAGCTCTAACTCAGGGGTCCTCAAACTAAGGCCCGGGGGCCGGATGCGGCCCTCCGAGGTCATTTACCCGGCCCTCACTCAGGGTCAACCTAAGTCTGAAATGACTTGAAAGCACACAGCAACAACAATCCTATCTCATCAGCCAAGAGCAAGCCCACACTTCCCATTGACATACTAATAAGCTTATATTTGTTGAATTTGTTCTTCATTTTAATTATTGTATTGTTTTTAAGTGTCTTTTGCACTATAAATAAGATATGTGCAGTATTCATAAGAATTCATTCATTATTTTTTTCAAATTATAATCCGGCCCTCCAACAGTTTGAGGGACTGTGACCTGGCCCTATGTTTAAAAAGTTTGAGGACCCCTGCTCTAACTATATGGGTTTGGAGAAAGCACGTGCAGTAGTTTGAGCATTGGACTACAACTCTATAGAGACCAGGATCAAATCTCTGCTCAGCCACAGAAACCATCTGAGTGACAATTTGGGAAGTGACACACTTTCAACCTCAGAAGAAGGCAAAGACAAATCCTCTCTGCAAAAATCTTGACAAAGAAAAGCACATGATAGGTTTGCCTTTGTCAAAAGCAAGGTGAAGGTATATGCCAAAAGTTAACATGGAAAATTTAGATTCAGGGAGAAACAAAAAGGTTAAGAAAATTCCTTTTCCTTTCCTCCAGATTCTCTCTCTACCAACTACAAATTCTTAGGAATAAAAGAAACAGAACAGAGAGACAGCAGCCACTTTTCAATATCTCCTTCAGTCTTCATCTAGGGCTTGCAAATATTGCAGGGGGAAATGCACACACACATATAGAGAGAGATATCTAAATAGATAAAATATAGGTACATAGGGCTTGCAAATATTGCAGGAGGGAAATGCACATATAGAGAGAGGATTTGCAAACTTTTCAGGGGAAAATGTATATATGAAATTAGTATATATGATTATAGATCTATATCTAGTTCTGCATTATTTATATAGGCATTGAATGTTTGCCTCTTACTATGTTGCCTCTTACTATGCCAGCCTGAGTCCCCATGGGGAGATAGGGTGGGATACAAATGAAGTTTTTTATTATTATTATAAAGTTATTGTTGATACTATATTGTTTTTGTTGACCCTACTTTTCTACTTACAGTGCTAGTTTGTTGTTTTTTCTTTGATATTCAAAACTTTTAACCTACTGATGCCTCAATTAATGTAATTTTATTGTTATCTATTTTTATTTTGAAATTTATCTGTGGCTGCCTGCATTTCCCACCCCAGGCTTATACTCGCATCAATAAGTTTTCCCAGTTTTTGTAATAAAATTAGGTGCCTCAGCTTATACTCAAGTATGCTTATACTTGAGTATATACGGTACATTTAATGAATGTTGGCAGCCAAAAACTGCAACTAAGTCAAAAACATTATAAAATCTACAAAGTAAGAGATCCACGGGTATTTGAGCTGGACTTCTTTCACTTTCTCAATTTGTCATTATGTTGCTAGATTAAAATTGTATGTAATGTTTTTTTTCAATCTAAAATCAAGGAAAAAATAAATGCATGAGAAAAAATAAAATTGGCCATCACCAACTATTTTTATAATTAGAATATCATCATTTTGGCCCTTCTACAATTTTAGACAAAAGTATTTATGAGATCAGATTAATGTCTTGCATTCCATAAAACACCCCTTCAAATCAGAGTTGGGATGTAAAAAGTTACAAGCAATGTACTTGTAAGCAAAGGGTTTTTTTATCAGTGCATTTTAGAAACAATGAGACATTTATTTTCAGTGGTATGATAAGTCATGGTTTCTTGGATGTCATTCTGGTTGTTACTTGTTAAAGGCATTTTAAAATAAATTTTAAAGTTCCATGGCATTCCACATTCATTTTTAAAAAATAATTAGAAAAACAATGCAATTAGTAACATATTTTAAAATGAGGGTATTAACCAATTTATATACTTAATTATATAATTGCATATATTATTATTGTTGTTGTTATTATTTATTAAACTTTATTTATACCCCATCACCATCTCCCCTCAGGGAGATATACAGGCAGACCCCAAGCTACATACAAGATAGGTTCTGAAGGTTTGTTCTTAAGGTGAATTTGTATGCAAGTTGGAACAAGTACTTTATTAAAGTGTAACTCCAGACATATATGTGTGTATGTATATGTGTGTGTATGTATGTATGTATGTGTATATATATACATATACACACACATACACACACATTACACTTTATTAAAGTGTAACTCCAGACATATATGTGTGTATGTATATGTGTGTGTATGTATGTATGTGTATATATATACATATACACACACATACACACACACATATATATATATACACTTACACTCACACAGTATATTAGATTTAGATAGCATAACACCCTTCCCTATGCTGTCCCCCTGTTCAGAAGATTTCACCTCTCTTTCTGTCCCTGTGATAATTGGATTTTGAAAAGAATTACTTATTGTGGAAACAAGGATTGGTGATAACTCTTTTAGGAGTGAATTCACCTTTCTGGGGCAGATTTCTATAACTTCCTGTTGTCTCACCCGTTTTTCACTATTGAGTCTGTAAGTCAAATGTTTGTAACTCAGGGATTGCCTGTAATGGTATTTGAGCTCCTCAGGTTTTAAAGTATTTTTATACCTATAAAGAAATAAAAACAGCCCTCACCCTAGTCTCCTTAAAAAAACTCTTGAAAATGCACTTATGCGCTTTAGGGTATGGAGAGGAGGAGGACTAGGACGCTTTAAATTAATGACATCAGATCACTGGCTAACCTATTCTACCTCATGGCAGCTACGATACACTGCAAGTGAACACCTGCGTTAACCACTTCTAATGTATTTTAATTGTTTTAAAGGGTACGTGTTTTAATGTTAATTCATGTTATTAGTGGTATATGTCCTACTGGATTATTTCTATTTGGTTTTCATTTTGATGTTAATTATTTTATTGAAAGTTTATTGTTATTATTATGGATTATTTTGATTTTTGACGTGTTTGTATTTATTTAGGGCATTGAATGTTTGCCTTTTTCCATGTGTAAACCACTCTAGTCCCTTCAGGGACAGGGGGCGGTCTAGAAATAAAGTTTTATTATTATTATTATCATTTTATTAGGAATATTATGAAGCTATGGATGGTTGAATCCATGGGTATAGATTCCATGGATACAGAGGGCAACTTGTCCTGCTGGCTGGTGGGGATGCTATGTTATTGAAAAATGTGATGGCCAGTTTCCTTGACAGCATGCCATGACTGGCTTCAGAGACTGCCAAATGAAAGCTTTTTCTATGGCTAAGGGCTTGACAAGACTTCTGTAATGCTGAATCAGACAAGACAAGATAGAAGCATGAATTATCTCTGCCCTAAGTTCAACTAAACTATGCTGCTCCCTTCATCAGTCAAGCAAAAAGCAATCACAAACCTGTCCATGATAACAAGCTTAAGTGCATCTGTTGCAGTGAAAAGAAATGTAACTGGAGGCCTTCTCCTGCCAGTTAGGATATTCCAATGACCAGACAGACTGAATATATTAACTAGCCCACCAACAGAGTACTAGAAAATATTACTTTTCCAAGCAAGGCTTGCGTGTCAACTGCAATGGACTTTGCAGAACCTCAAACCACAACACAAATGCCGCAAAAATAAATACAAGGAAAGTTTGGCCTATCAAACTACATAACAATACTGCTCTCTTTTGGTAGACTTGTGCTATGCCAGTAGTTAAAGAGGAAAATGAAATTAGTCTTGTCTATAAGCCACAACTCAAACCACTTCTAAATTCTTAACCAGAAACATCCTGGGTCTAAATTTCATTTACAAAAATACGAATTACTTCTGTTTCGGTCAGTGGGAGGCACTAATTAGGTCCACACACACTGAGTTTTAGCAACGACACTGATTAGTCCCAGATTATTGAATGAAAAGGCTCAAAGTACAAAGCAAAACATGACATTTTTGCTGCCACATATAGCTCTCCATCCCTTCCCGGTGACTTGCAAAAGCACAATTATGCAGCATAAGCAAACACAGCACAGGTTTACACATCTCAAAGGATATATTTTTTAGTGCTTGGGAGGGGCAGTTTACCCAAATATGCAATATGACAATGAGCAAGAGTTGATATATTTCCCCAAGTGCCATGGTAATAGAAGAGATTAATTAAATGATATCTTCTCTACACTTCCACTTTCAGGGACAACAGCACTGCTTTCTGACATGTCATATTCTTTTTATATGATCTTACATTCAATAACTTGTACACACATTTGAAGACCCAGATAAACATGGCCTTGTGGGAAGACTAATGTCAAATTTATACAGAGGCCCCAAATGACAAGATTCAGTTGGCCTTCTCTATGTATAGATACAACCATCCAGCTTGAAACTATTTTTTTAATTCAAAAGCAAATTGATTTTTGCCATTTTATACAAGAGACATCATTTTACTATGATGTTGTATATAATGGAACTTGAGCATCCATAGATTTTGTATTCACAGGGGTCCTGAAACCAAACCCCAGTGGACACCAAGTGCTCACTGTGCAGTTTTCAAAATATGTTGTGGATCCTTATCCTAGAAAAAATTGTGTTTTTATATTGTGACTAATATATATTACAGTTTAGGCAAACATTAGAAATATATATCTGTAGGTAGAAGGGTGTTATTTGAGGGGTGTTTTTTTTAAAAAAAAATTAAACAGGCTACACAAAAATAAATGATTTCCAACTTCTATGCCTCTTAAGAAAATGAAATGTGCAAAGCAGGTGTAATGGCATTTCTAAAACCTTGTTTGTTAGGCTGCCGTAGCATTGATACATATTTCTCACTAAATCCCGCTTAGATCAAAGGATAATTTGATCCATAGGCATATTTATATATATCACTTTATTTTATTTATTTTATTTATTTATTTACTGTATTTGTATACCGCCTTTCTCAGCCCATAGGCAACTCCTAATTTTCTACTTATAACTTACTGGTTTTTACTCTATTAATGTTCTATGAGAAAATGCAATCCTCTTTCAATACAATTTTATACTATTCCAAAGAAATATCCAAATATTTACTTGTGTTTTTATCTGGGAGTCTGTCAATCTTCCACACAATGGCTTTATATGCACTTTCATATTTGGCTGTTCCAATGGAAACTTGTATGACAGAATCAGATTCAATCTCAGTTAAAGAACCAAGACATGCTCTTCTGTTCATTTTTGCTTTCAGGGACTTCTGTCTTTGAAGGTTCATAGTCCAGAGTGTTTTGATCCACTGTGGAGGAACAGGAAAATGTATCATGATGTTTTCACAATGTTTTGTGGAATGTGAATGGACTGAAGCAAGAGCAGAAGATGACATGTTTATGAAAGCCTGGAGTTCAATGTAAGCTCCCTGAGCTACTACTAATGCTTTAACAAAAAATGGAAGATCTGATCCATTATACCTCGTCCTGAAACGCATCAGTTCCAACCTACAGCCATCTATTGGTGTAAATTTAATTATCCTTGACTGCTCAAACTCTTGTTGTTTTGCACATTGATGGAAATGATAATCAAGGATTTCAATCAATTTCTTTTCAGTGTCCTTCTCAAAGTAATCCTCATCTCTTCTCTGAAGCTCCAAGTCATTTAGTGTCAAAAAGCACTCAGAGTTTCCATTGACAAAACTCAAGTAATAAATATGGGTGATGACAACACTTTCAACCAGTTTTGCTTCTGCTTTTGTGATCCTTCCCCAAAAGTTGTCCACTAGCTCCAAGACAATTTCTTGTTCTTCATAATGCTTCTTTGGTTTTGAAGGAACAGGAAGCTTCATTAATTCTTCTTCGACTATCATCAGGAAGTCTGTGAAATCACTGTAATCAGTTGTTCCTAACTTCAGCATCTGTTCTATCTCTGGTTCATGAATTACCTCAGCTTTAGGATGATACTTCTTTTTCTCTGTGTATGACACATACTCAATTTTAACAGTATGGATTCTCCCAGAGATGCTGCAATTCTCTAGTTTGGGTTCGGAAAGTCTGCAAAATGGCTGCAGCTGGAATTCTTTGAACGGTTTCTCAAGGCCCTTTTCATAATACATTTGTAGGATTCCTCCAGGTAAAACTCTAAGATATATAGGTCCCCACTGTCTTGATGACATCATATTCTTCTTTTCAGGAATCCTCAACATGAAAGGCCAGCCATCTTTTCTCTGGCTGCTGAAGAGGGTACGAGGAATGAATGGAGAAAATCCATCTCCAGTATAAATACAGGGCATGGAAGTCAAAGTCCTTTCATTATCTGAAGAATCTGTCTGCAAGTGCTCAAGCCTTTCACAAATATAGTTGAAGGATCCCTGATTGAGGCTTTTCTGATCGGGCAAACCTTCTTTTTCTTGCAAAGAACTATGGTGTTTGTCAAAGCCTGAATCCGTTCTGGGTGCATCAGAGCTAGGTGAAGGTGAATCTTCTGTCCAAAATGGGCTAGAAAAAGCACAATTATTCTGAACATACTGAAAGAATGTTTGTGTTTCTGAACAATCTTCCGGTTTCTTCGAGTTTTCTTCAGTGATGTTTACATCGTCCGTTGGTTTAGGCACAGAGGACTCTGAGTGATGCCCAGTCTGCAATATGCCATCCAGTTTTTGAGGTGCAGGATGAACATTAATGCTGGATGACAGTTCTGGAATAGGATAAAGAAGAGATCCTGATTTAGGAAAACAAGGGCTTGCAGGGTAGTCTCTGGTAGGTGTGCAGAGTGGAGAATTACTAGGAGGGCCAGGAATGAAATAATAGTCATTCATAGGTGATGAAAGAGAAACGTTGCTGGAAGAAGATGACTGGCTTGAAGAATCATGCATCTTAGGTAGAAGGAGTTTAAGCCCATTTGTTCTGAATACCCCATGACTTCCCCCTGCCTTCTGGGGAGACTGGAAGACAGGTTCATCTTCAAAAGTAACCCAGTTTGCAGGATTGGTGCTAAACATCTTGTGGCAACAGGCTGGGTTAGCTCAACAGAAGCTTCACTTCCAAATCATCTATTTAAAAAAGGGAAAAAAATATAGTTAGAAAAAACTTTATAATAATATGTTTACATTACACGTTTAGATAAATTTCAAGCCTTTAAACAACCTGAGAAATTGGCTGTACACAAACTGGAGAAGTTCCAAGTATAAACATCAACAGGTTATAGTTATAATGATGAAACAAATTCATACATATAACATAGATATGTGCACCAGTTCTCAATATACTTCAAAACCGATAAGGCTGGTAACATCAATTCCAAATTGTAAAATAAATTTCAAACCTTTAAACAACCTGAGAAATTGGCTGTACACAAACTGGAGAAGTTCCAAGTATAAACATCAACAGGTTATAGTTATAATGATGAAACAAGTTCATACATATAACATAGATATGTGCACCAGTTATCAATATCCTTCAAAACTGATATGGCTGGTAACATCAATTCCAAATTGTAAAATAAATTTATGGGGAAAAACCATGACTTCATACACAATTATTTACAAGAATCACTTGTAAGGAAAAGACAAATATTTTCTCTTCCTTGAATTACCTGTTCCAAGCTATGTTGAATACAAATACCCATGGATGCAATTTCAAAGCTTGTTTTTTCACACAAACAATTTTATTTTCTTAGTTGTAACACAGCAACTGTCTATCTCTTGTCATTTCTGTCACTGAAATATGTCTTAAGGAAAGCCTTTTTCCATTAACATCTTTTGCACACCATGGTTTTCTGTAGGCTTTCTGTAGTATGTACAGGTGGACCTGATTTGAAATCATTATCTCTCTGCCACCTTGAAAGCATGAATGAAACCCTTACAACTTGAAAGGATGGGAAACACTGCTAGATGCCTCTCCCAGTGCACAAAAAGCCCTTAACCTCAGTCATTCACAAGATGGAGACCTTGCAACATAAGGCCTAATAAAATATTCTCCATTTGCCAAGTTATTTTTTAGATTTGTTTCTGGCTCAAAAGAGTAAATCTTGATAACTTGATATCTAACTGGAGGTCAGCTGTTACCAACTGTGCTGTGGATTTCAAAGAGGCACAAATGGAGAGAGAAAGGGAGAAATGTGTCAAGAGAATGGTGCGTCAAAACAACTCTTGTTGGGACCACCTTCCGTCTGGAAATCGATGTCCTCACTGCGAAAGAACATACAGATCCTGAGTTAGTCTCTACAATCACTTTCAGACCCACCAGCAAGACTCTACCCTTGGAAGACGATCATACTAAGCCACGACTGATGGCCTATGATCATGATGGTGATGTTTGAACAGCTAAACAGAGAGAAAAGGGGAGAGCAGATAACCCTAGCATGTTAAAAATGACAGAGCTGCTTGGCCACAAAAACGGAAACCATAAGAAAAGCAGGTGTTGATGGGAGGAAAAGTCATCCCTAGATGCATTTTGGGAAAAGGTTTTAAGTGACTTCTAGAAGGTTCAAAATGTTTTTATTTACTCATTCAAGATTTACTCTGGTGCCAACTGTTTTGTCAAAGAAACTATGCCACAAACATAGCTAATTCATTTACTGACTATACCTGTATTATATGGTTTTATAGAACTGCCATCACTAGCAAGACAACACAATGATTTTGAATCTGTAAAGGTTGCAAACATTGCAATTTATTTTTTTTCCCCCTGAAAATTTCTGATTTCCAATGTTTTTGTCTCCTACAGCTTCAACATTTCTAACAAATGAATTTATCCTTTTAAATTTCAAAAGGATGCAACATAATATAGCTGTAGTACTAATGGCATTACACATATTCAATGTTCTTGAGATAACAAACATAAACTTTATGTACTTCTTCCAATGTTTAAATTCCATAGCAATTGTCATATGGTGATATTTATCTGGAGAAATTTTTGAAAAACTGGAACCTAATGCACAATTTGAAAATTCCTAAAGAAGCTAAATCAGTTTGCCAAATAATTGGAAATTATTTGAACATAGTAAAAATGAATTATCTACCCTTGACTTCAACCAAACTCAAAGTTGGATCATTATAATTTGCATGCTGACATACACTTAACAGATTTTCCTGTTTTACAAAAACTACTTCCTGTAGCCCTTCTGAAGAGCTGGTTCCACATGTTTGTAATTTTAGACACCGCATGTGCTAACATATGTCAAGGCAGAAATCTGTGTGTTAGGACTAGTGTGTAAAGATTAACACACATGCTGCCCCATCTTATTAAACGGAGCAGTTTTCATTCCTTCTGATTTCATGAACCATTTTAAGTCCCACATGCGGTATTTTCTTCACTGCTCCTGCATTAGAACAGCAACTTATTGCATCATGAAGTTTTGTTAGAGTAATGTGGAGCCAGCATTAGGGAAACACAACTTTCATCCTTGAATTCAACAGACCTGCTCAGCATCAAGTCTGCCAAATAAGGTACACAAAATGTCTCAAATAAATTCAGAGAGACTGTTGTTAATTGCAATTTATAGTTTTATCCCATCGTGTCCAGCATCCTATAGGAAAATAAACTCTTTCTGACTTCTACAGCCCTTGCACCCATCTAAAATCCACTTTGGAAGGTTGGAAGACTATATGGAACTGGTGAGAGGCACAAGGAAAAGGAAGTCCAAATATGAAAACAGAATTGCATAATTTTTGAGTGAAGATCTATGCTTTCAAACACATAGAATACTGAATTTTGAGATACTGAACCAGGCACTTGTGCAAGTTCACAGAGAAGAAAAATAAAAGCAGTTCATGCCAGCCACAAATGCTTGCTTTTGCATAATTACAATACGATACATGATTTAATAATTGGGTCTCAAACTGGCACAGGCAATGACTCAATCATGGAGTTTCTTTGACTTGCTATCCCCAAGCATACAATCAAAGCGTACTTCAGATATGTGCTTGTGCTATTTTTGCATGTTTTAAAAAATAGGCAATTGTCTGATTAGCGTTCTGCAAAGCAACAGTCAGCCAGACACTTGTTGAAGTCCAATTCCTTAATCCTGAGGACAAGGACACAAAAGAAAAGAAATACAACTGCCCATTAAATAATTCCAATTAGAAATCCGCCCATGGTTATTTTCCTGCAAGAGGTGACTGCACTGGCCCTTTTCAAAGATAAAATGTAGGAGTGAGATGTAGCACTCAAATGGTCAAAGGGATACATTATTAAAAATGTACAGACTCAATTTCATGTGGAAGACATACCAGTTTTAAAGCTACTTCACATACTGGACTTTTCTAAATGTATCATCCGATTATGTCTTTTATTCCATACAGATTACAGCAAAGAATTTTATTTTGTCATGGCTTCTTGGTAGATGTCTATGCCATAAAAATGAGCTTTGTAGACATTTTTATATCATGGGATTTTTGTGGTATACTGTAAACTCCTGCTGCTGAATACAATCTTCCCATTCTGCTGAAGGACCTGCTTTCATCAATGGAAATTAAGACGGGAAAATATTCCCCCATTGCATAACATCTCCACGGTGCTCTATGCAGCTCAGAAATCTGCCAGAGCAGATTTGGGGACACCATAAAAGGCTGTAGACAACAGGATGTGTGTGAACAACTAGCCACTTAAGAAAGCAGAGTATTTCATCTCAAATGGTACATCAGGGTCACAGATGTACACACAATATACATTCCATACCTGAAACACAGCATCCTTTCACACTGTATAGTTTAGCTAATTAGTAATGGCTCTGCAGCATTTCAGTTAAGATACCATATCTGCATTAATTCATTTAAGGTAAACCCCACCTTTCTTTCTCCAGTGGGGCTTAAAATAAATCAAAATAGATGTTAGCTAAAATTCCATATTACAAAAGTTAAAAAAAACACAATACTATTACAACCAGATAGTCAAAATTAATTTAAAGTATGATCAAACATAATTGAAAACATCAAAGATTCAATACTGTTCTGCCATATGGTTAAAAATCAATCAAGATCCTGCCTAAATAAGAACATCTTGGCCTGTGACTTATCAGACCTCTTAAAGGTGGGAGTTGTATATCCTCGAAGGAGCCCCTGAGAAGGCTCACCAATTGTGGTCATGATGAACGTGGAACCCAGGAAAAAGCCCTCCCCTGAAGATCTTAAAACTCAGGCTTGCATATGTAGTGTGGGCCCAAGCCAGACAGGGCTCTAAAGCTTATAACCAGCACTTTGAATTGTGCCTGGGGATGGATTAGTGGCCAGTGGAGCTGTTTCAACAAGAAAGTTATACGATCCCTGCAATCAGCCCAAGTCAATTTTGGATCCACTGAAGTTGCCATACACTTTTCAAAGACAATCCCACATGAAGCAATTACAGCAACCCAAACAGAACACAATCATGGTACATGTCACTATAGCCAGATCTGACCTCTCAAGGAATAGGCACAAGTATTGCGCTAGTTTTAACTGTGCAAACATCTAGGAGTATGCCAAAGCTGAAAACTTGAGATTTCATGAGGTTAATCTCATCCAACACTGTGTGAATTCCTATTCCCGGATCTGCTTTATGTTAACCAGGAAAACTTCTGTCTTGACTGAATTTAAGTTTCAGTTTGTTGGCCTCATAAAGACTATTACTGATGGCAGGTACTTATTTAGTACAGAAGAGGTTCCTTGGAGGTAAATAGGAAAGAGAGAGTTGGGTGTCATCTGTATAGTGGAACATTCCAAAGTTCTAGATTACCTTGTCTGATCTTGGAAGTTAAGGTGAGACAGTACTCATTAGTACTTGGATGGGAGATTGCCAACAAATGCCGAGTGCTATAGCCTATACCAGGGGTCCTCAAACTAAGGCCAAGGGGCCAGATACGGCCCTCCAAGGTCATTTACCCGGCCCTCGCTCAGGATCAACCTAAGCCTGAAACGACTTGAAAGAACACAATAACAACAACAATCCTATCCCATTAGCCAAAAGTAGGCCCACACTTCCCATTGAAATACTAATGTGTTTATATTTGTTTAAATTGTTCTTCATTTTAATCATTGTATTGTTTTTAATTGGTTTTTTGCACTACAAATAAAAT